ATGGGTGCAAGGACGCTAAAAGCATCACCCAACCACTGCTTCTCCCCACCATACACGTTATTTGACTCCATTAAACAGCTACGTACTGGGAAGATCTGTCTGGACTGAAAGGTCAGCTGCAAAGCCTACTCACACTTTGGCTCTTCCATCTGCTCCTTATTTTCTCTTTTTTCCTCTCCTGCCCAGATGCAGCTGCACAGCTGCACAGCCGCTCCCCTGCTCCCCTCCCAGCTTCACCAGGGCAGATGCCCCCCAACACGCTGACAGCGCATCAAGTTGGGGGAACCACCCTGCAGCATGGACGCTCCTCACCTCTGAAAGCACGGCTCGGGACAAGGCCCAGGGGATCCTGGTCCCAGCACCTGGTTCTGCCCAACAAGAAACATTTCCATCATCGCGGCGGTCGCACATCTGCTCTTCCTCTGCTCCTGTGCGCCCTTGTGCCAACTCAAGCTCAAACTTCAGGGCTGCACTTCAGGTTGGGGATGGGCCAGGTGGTCTTTTGGCAAAGGCTAAAGGTGTCATCCAAATTTTCCTTGTCAATCTGATCTAAGGGCTGCTGTCATCTCTTCGGAAAGGCTGGTGATGGGAAGCACCAGAGCAAAACAATGTGGTTAAACCAGCAGCAGCTGGCAGCCGTCCTGCAGCAATGCCCTCTGCAGCAGCAGGGGGATCTCAGCACACGCCTGGACCTGTGCAAAGCCCAGAGCGAGGACAACCAGGGCCCCCCCACCGTCCCCACAGCTGCTGGTCAGGTCCCTGAGCAGGGGGGCTTCAGACATAGCGATACCACCAGGCAGGGCTAAGCAAAGGTACATCAGGTTGCTGAGGACTGCGTCTAGAAAACTGTCATTTTCTCTCCTGAACTGCTCATTTTGCAGCATTTTTATCACTACATCTCTAATGAATCAAAGGAGTCCTGTAATCAGTCTGTAATTACCAATTTGTAATTTTGATTTCTGTATAAAGGCATCACTTAACCTGTTGTTTTCAGTTCACCCCAGGACACCACCCACTACACACCTACATGTTACTACAGCCTACCACCACCAGCACAAAGACCAAGAGGAACATCACAGTGTTCTGTGAGAAGGACCATGCAGAAGATGTCAGACGAGAAAAGCAATCTGCTGGTTCTCCTCCACCTTTGGGGCAAAGCGCTCTACTTCGCCTCAGAAGTTTTTTTAGGTCATTTTCTCTAAAACAGATTCCTAAGATTAGTGTTTTCGCTTTAAAAAGAGTAAATGCCTCCTCCCTGGCACTTTCACTTGCATTCTTGCAAGCTCAAGAGGTGCAAGGCAGGCTCTCAGACTAATCAGATTTGCACCCCAAAATCCAGAAGCTTATGATGATCACTGCCATCATTATTGTTTGCAAATTACACAGCCAAGAAGAGAAAAAAAAAAAAAGAAAAAATCGCAGGTCTTTTAGACACAAAATAGATCTTTTGCCTTTCTCTGCCCTCAGTTCTCCAGAGAGCACACACACACGACCCATGTTCAAGCCTCTGTAAAACCTGAATGATGTTCAATGTATTGGCTCTTAAATTGGCTCTTGGAGACTCTTCTGCTCCCCAGGAGCCAGCTGTCTTGGGAGCTAAAACGAGAAGGGCAGCAAGTCTTCTGCCTTGTACACCAGCCACTGGTGTCTGTGAGAGCCCATGGGAGCCTCCTCTGCCCAACCTGGGCTGGATGCAATTTCCACCACGTGTAACTGGATTAACCACAGAGGAGACGTTTTATGTTGTTCATTATTTGTTAAATGCAGTTACAAATCTGGCAGCACGAGTTTCACCCTCCCAACATCAGCTTTCCTCATCTGTTAGAAAACCCTCAAAATGGATTAGATTATTGGCTGGGGGATGAAAAACATTTTTAAAGCCTCCCCAGCACTGTGATTAAAAAAGAAACAGAAAATGTCAGAAAGGACAATCTTCAGACAACCTCTGAAGCAGGCGATATGGCAAAGATGTGTATGGCTGCATGAGCTCGCGTCTCACCACGGGCATCAAAAAGGCTCTTTTTCCCTTTACCTGCCTCTGATATCAAAAGCTCACATTAAATTAATTATCTGCACAGTCTCTGCCCTTCTGTCAAATTTGACTGAAATGGGCCAAGTTCAAAAGTTACTGGGGAAAGGGGAGAGAAGACAGACCCATGCAGCCCTTGGCCCGTAGGAGCCTACACAGAAATTCAGGCTGAGGTATGTGCCATGATCTGTGTTCAATGACATGTCAAAACCATGTCAATCAAACAAGACAGCAAAAGCAACAAACCCCAACATTCTTCACAGCTGTTATGGTAACGGTAGTAGGATATGCCATAGTCCTAGAATTAGAAACTAAACCCTCTCTGGGTTTTAAAAACAATAATTATGAACCAACAGAACTTCATAAAGAAGAAATTGATTCTGCTGTAAAGTTTTATTGTAGGGCACAAACTCCTCCCCTTAGGATGTCAAGTATCAAAACATTGAAAGCATCTTATAAAAGTTGTTTTCTCCTTGGGTCACGTCTCCAGAGCTCTGGTTCACTTCATCCTTTTAAAGACTCCATCACTTGCAACTCCGTTACACACTAGCAGCTCACAAGTAAACTCAAAGCACTGCTAGCCAAGGGATGCACGTGTTACCACACCTATCTCTAACACCAAACACCGTTTAATATCCACTTGCTGCTTCTGCATTTGCACAACATCCACCTGCTGCAACAGCTCCGAGTTTATTTGATCACCCTGAAGGGAACTAAATAACTAAATCAATTTGACTACACAACTGGATGTAATAAAGCCTGTCTGTATGTTTCTACGGAATAAGACCCTCAAGCCTGCTTTATGCTTAGTTTCTTCCTTCTTCAGGTACACATATTGTTTTGGAAATGCAATTATTGTCACCTCATTATTAGATAAAGCTCATTAGCGTGGCCACAGCCATATAGATGCATTAATTCAGTGTTTGCCTGGGTTTGGCTCAGCCAGTTTTGCAAAGTCAGGAACAAGACCAGCTGAACATCTTGCCCGGACTATAGGTCTCAGGGAGGAAGGAGAGAGGAGAAAAAACAACCTTTCAGTGACATTAATGCCATTTTCCCAGTGCAGATGTAGTGGCAGAGCTGGAGGTTACTGCCAGTCCCTGATACCATCCAGGAGAACAGGAGCAGCACCACAATCCTTCCTGAGGAGTAGGGACGGGCACGGTCCATCCAGAGAGGCTGGGGGTGATGCTCCATCCTAGGGAAAAGCCACTATTCCCTCCCAGCGTTTCTAGTTTCCAGAGCTCTGCAACTGAACCACATGCACAAGCTTTGCCAGAACGTAACCAACACAGAGAAGGAGGCAAACCCACCAGGGCAATAAACCACCCTAAAACTGCCTGGAAAGAGTCCAAATAGAGCAAAGGCTCCCATCTGAATTTCGAAGATATTAAAACTCTCAGTTTTCAACAAACTACTTGTGCGTTGGTGTAACCGCCTGGCTCCAGCA